AATGTAGGCTACACATCACAAATGAGGCAGAACAGACTTTAAATATTGTTTGTCAAAGAAAGGCGAGACCAGCTTCCTAGCAACAAAAAGGATGTCGCTTATTGTCTTCAAAAGGAGACCATTTCATCCCATCTCGTTACAAATGCCTTCCCATGATAGCTTCTGTCGGTATAAAAGTCTGCCAGCAGGGGATCCCCGTTAGGAAGTGACCAAGTTTGAAAACCCGTTATGCTCCTGGCAAACATTGTCATCTTGTACATATTTAGCCTGATCACTCTGGCAGGTTATGAAAGACTAAATGGTGCAAGCACATGCGGCAGATGCCGTTCTCATGATAGTTGAGGAGCCTTTGAGCCTCTGTTGGTAGCATGCCAGCTTCATCTCGTATACTGAAGAGCATTATACTTTCAAGCCTTCTACGGCTTGCCCTGAGGGACTGCTGCTGAAGTGGTAATAAAATTCAGAATGAGCCTCAGAAAGTCAACTTGTTGGTTTGGCTTCAAATGGGTTTTTTCATTATTAAACTTCCCTTTAGCAGCCATATGTAGATCTGCTTTCTCAAAACCGTCATGTGCCCCTTTAGAAAAGGTGATTCTAACTGAAAAGATCAATAGATAAAAACGCAGAGCCAGCAAAGAAAGGGGATTGTTTCTGTGAATAATATCTTTAAATTGCATTTGGTGGTTACATTTCTTCAGGTGAAGAGAAGTAAAGGGAATCTGGGAGTAAATGTTGTTTACCAGTAGCTCCTCTTGGCAGCCTATCTAGAAAATACAGACAAGACATTCTCCATTCCCTATAAAAGGGCATTTTATTTGCATTAAACATTGCAAAGTGGGTGATGCGTTTTGAGCTCTAAATCTGTGAATATTGACAGGAACAGTTAAAAATGCAGTTATGGGCAGTGCTGGTAACAGTAGCAAAAAGGTGTAACATCCCTGAAACATTTTGTAAGCATCATTTAATGCAACATCTCAGTGAGGTGGGTGAACAACTTAACCAAGGTAAGGCAGTTGGAAGATGTGCCTCAATCAAGAGATGAAATCACCTTATCAGGGTTAGCATTAAAATTAAGCTGCCAGCTTGAAAACAAAATGTTTGGCCAGTGGAACATGGCTTTTAGCAGGTCATATCAGTAAAAACAGAGTCTTTAATTATCTTAATGTATTCTTGAATAACACTTCCCTTTTCCCTGCTCTGCTAATACAACACTGAGTTAAAAATTTGTGTTGGGTGGGGTTTTTCTTTTGAAATTGAAGGTTTTTTTAAATATTTGGGGAATAATCTGTTCTTCTCTAGCTCTTTGCACATGTTATAGGCATATAATTACTTAAATAAAGATACTTAGAGCTGAGCTCATCTTTTCTAACATTTCGTATCTGAATGAAGAGGTAGTTTCAGTCACGGTAACGTGCTACCAGAGACTGTTAGGCTGGGCAGCACTTACCACAGCAAGAACACAGTATTTGTAATACTTAATTTTAATATAAATATTTATTATTTATGCTGTGAAAACATCTATTGGACAGAGCCCCGCTGTGCTGGACACTGTGCAAGTCTAGGAGAGGCAGTCGCAGCCAGCCTGTGCTACAGAGATGTGCAGAAGAAGGGGCACAGTGGGAAGGGGGAAGAGAGCTTATGATGGGATGAGTATGTAAAAAAAAAAACAAACCCCGGCACAGTTCTGCCAGGTGCACAGTGTTATTTATTGTGCATGGCATTAATGAGAGATGAAGTTTCATTTAAAGAGTGGGAGGCGGAGAAATCCTGCCATTTGACATTAATGAAAAAAAAAAAGTCTTCACAAAAAGTAAAGTGCACGTTAGTTTTCTGTAGACAGATATGTGAGAATTATTGAACTTGTGTAGCGCTTTGAAGTTGCTTTACCCAGATGTTCATTTAAAGACCACAGAACTGCGTCAAGTGACAGTGTATGCCTGCTCCTGACAGCAGCACCAAGCATGCTGCTGCCGTTCCAGAGGAGAACGTTGGTCGCAGCCACGCTAATGCACCCATCTTAAAACTTTCTGGGTGACGCTGCTGACATCTGTTTGGTCATTACTGGGATGAACGCGGAGCACCCCCTGACTCCAGTTAGCATTAGCAAGAATTACACACAGAGCATCTCACTGAAGCTTTAAAAATTACTCTTCGTTATAGAGGAAAGAGAAATAAATCACAACTTTGTAATCTAGCTGCCTCCAGTTATATTTACAGCCTTGAGGTTCTACATCGAGCCATGTCCTCTCCATCCTTTTACTCCTTTTTCACTGAAGAATGCTGTCATGAATGCTGTCACTGAAAGGAAAAGTTACAAGAGCTTCCTCCTAGAATAGGTTCAATTTAGCTTCAGCGTACTAGTGCAAAGAACATATTGCAACACTGTGGTGGCCTGTTTTTCTGGCCTTTATTAATCCAGAAACCTTAATGATGAACAACATTTGTGTCATTGTCTACACAAATTTAATTTGTTTATGCAGCAGTTCAGTTAATCCTGCAATCTGCTTTTCTCAAATGAGGACAGATAATGGAGACACCGTTCTTTACAGGTCTTCAAGCTTTTAAATTGTGATAAAATCAGGATTCTTCACTGGGTCTTGCCACAGCTCTGAATTAAGCCACTTTAAATGTAATTACTGAAGCTGGCTGTACATCAGGAACATCCATTAAAAGAATTGATTGACCATGCTGTTACGGGAGGCATTTTATGAACAAACGATCATGATGGGTCCAGAACCGTAATTTATAAAGGCAAAAAAGCAGGTAAATACTTTATTAGTGGTTAATGAGAGGTTCACAGGATAACTAAATTTCTTCTTTTTTAACCAGCTACTTCGGGGAACCTTGGTCCATGGCCATCTATCACGATCGGTTTATTGATCTCAAGAAGGAACTGCGCCAAATCCTGATGTCGGAACAGGTAAGAAAAATGACTGGCGAGTGCATTTTATTATTTAGGTAATTTGTTAGTGTTGTTCACTTTGGTTTCTTCTCCCATCTTTCTCCCAAAGCTTTATGTTTCTGTTTAGCTATTTCCTCTGGGAAGCCTGAGCAGATCCTGTACCTCATAAGGGGGGTTCACCAAGTACAGCATAGTGTTGAGTTTTGTTATTTGGGCATATTTCCAAATTTGCCAGTAGAACTTTAAGTTGCTTTGTTTTCCTTCACGGTGTTTTTGCATTATATGTGCAGTCTAGCACCGCTACCCAGCAGCATCTGGAGGCTTATTCACTCAGTTATCTCCCCCTTTTTTTTATTAATGCTTCCTAATAGAAATACACTACAGGCCATCCTAACACTGTCTCAGCTGAGCCCATGAGAAGTAGATTTTTTAACATCTACCCACAGGGAATGGCTTTTGTAGCTGAAAGAGTGAAAGCAACTGGCTTTTTCAGTGATAAGTGGATTTCCTGAATAGGGATGAAATTAAAATGTTTGCTAATGCTGTTTACAGCTTTGGCCTTAGTACTGTAGACAGAGGCATAAAGTCTCGGCAGCCTGTAACTTTGCCTGCTCAAAATCCAAAACCCACTGCACTCCACGGAAAGAGCTGCTAACTGCAGATTTCCAGGCACCCAAGAACTGCCCCCTCGCCCCCCGATGAATTTCTGGCTGATCTCAAACCTAATGTGCAGTCTGGATCTGGATGCTTCCAGCCCGCTACTTGGGAGCAGTTCACCCCCTCTCTCCTCTCCTTGCTTTTGCTTTTGTTTAATGCAGCGGCGTTCCGTGCGATGGCAGTATTTTTTCAAGTATTCGCTCACTGAGTTTTTGGACTGTGCAGAAAACAAACGGAATTAGCTGTAAACGGAGGCAGGGTGACAAAAGGAAGGGACGGGGCGTAGACTGTAGCCCACCCATTTCCATGGCCCAAAGTGGCGTGCTGTCGGCTGTCGCAGCTGTAGCTACACAAACGCTCGACCCCTGCCTCCTCCCAGAAGGGCTGGGTGCAATTTTCCTCCTATTGTCATGACACAGAAAGTGCCTCAGCACAGTTTGATTTCAGATTCTCTTGGAAGACATCTATAAAAGAATACAAAATGAAATTCTGTGCAGAATGGGAGGCCTGAGGAGAAGTGTGTTTCTTGCCATCGTTCGACCACATTTTGCATGCTGTAAGCGTGAACAAGTTTAGAGAAGGGAATCTGTGTCCTACTAATTAAAGACCTGCTTGCCTCACCCCTTCCTTGTTGCAGTAGTCCTGACACACAAAAATAGTCCCACTGAACGGACTGAAAGCACCTCTATGAGGCAGAAATGCTTACATGAGCATAGATGACGGTATCTGCACCTGAATGTAAATTTGTCCTTACTTTTTGTATTTTTATGTGGATTTTCAGCACTGCGATTTTAACTATATTTGCTGAATGTCACATTTGTATGTTTTCCTCGGGTGCTCCTTCTAGACACTTTGCCAAATACGTAGCAGGTACCACGTGCCTAAGGAATATATCCTAAATGCCTCGGGCTTGGCTGTATTTCTATATGGAGCAAGAGACCTACTGTCTTTGCTTCCCGTTGCTTATATTGCAGCTCACTTGGGCATGCAGATAAACTAGTAATGCAACGTGGAAGTGAGGAGGAGGTACACCTCTGAAAGGGATGTTTAAGAACCGCAAGTGAAAATACACGCAAGTCGGGCATTTCTGGTTACAGTTGCCTCAGAAGCTGGCACTCAGGCTCGTGCGTTTAGGGATAATGTTCGCGAGTAGGAAGTGATGTATGGACAGAAGACGCAGCTACAGCTGGGCCAGGGACTACGTTGTTAGCCTGTGCGCTGGGGTTGTCGCCCCGGCGCGGCACTGGCGTGCGCCCGCCCACCGCCAGGAGCCGGGGAATGTTTACCCTTCTGCGGGATCGCAAACATGTGTTTATTCCCGCGTGCGGAGCTCCAGCTATGCAAACATGCAGATGGCGGGGCTGCGTTTCTGCACCTACATCAGCTGTTGGAGTATTGCAGCACGCCGAGGGCGCACGTGGGCAGCGCGAGGGTTTCTAGAAAAGGCGCTTGTCCGCCATAGGAAGCAACGGTTCGCTTTTCAAACGCAGCTGGGGTCCCCCTGAGGAGCCCCTTAACAGCAGCAGTAAATGAGGAGCGGGGGGACTGCGCGCCAGACTGGGTGCTAGCACGGGACGAGG